TTTAGGGGAATTTTCCAAGTCATCTGCTGATTCGTTAATACCAAATATTAGCAATGCACAGGAAAAATCCAGAATATAAAAAAAATTTTTGGGAAGCATTTACGTACCTTCTCTCCGACTTTGTAATCCGGCGGTGCCATCTTGATTTTACCAATTGGAAGATGAACATCCGGTGCGTCCATTATGGGTGTTTTGTTTGTAAGTTTCAGCTGATCATCCTTCTGAACAATAAGTTGCCGGATAGGCTCGATGGTGTCAAGAGGAACTGGCTTACCGTGCCAGTTATTCTGTAACAGTTCATTTTCATTACAATTTTCATGGCATTCGCCAAATATATGCCCTCTTGGCTCTTTCTATCGGCACTATCTACAACTCAATTTAAATCACAATATAGTTTCTAGTGAAGAATTTAGGGCTGCCTAGGCAATCGATGTAAGGATCCTGTGTTACTGATATGAGATGCTTCTATATGTCGGTGTAGCTATAACAACCCCTTTGACCTTGGATTGGTTGGTACCTGCCGTCTGGCTGATATATTTGCATCAACTTATTATGCGTTTTGTGCTGTCTAACAGCAGTACAAAACGCATATTGTCATGTCCCACATTTTGTCCCGCAATTTCAACTCGGGAATCACAAAAGCTAGGCGGCTGGAATTTTAGTACAGTGCTCCCCGACAACGGGTGACGCAGCAAAATTAAATTTAGCCTTCCCGTGCCTGCGGGTAACACGTACGGCCCCAAAAAATTTTTTCGGGTAAAATCAGTATCTCGGGAACCACGGAAGGTAGAAGGCTGAAATTTTGTGAGCATGCCCCCTGCCCGTGTGCTACCCAGGAAATTTAAATTCAGCTTTCTCCTGCCCACGGGTAACAAGTACCGCCCGCGAAAATCTTTGACAGGTAAATTATTATCTCGGGAACTACGTAGTTTAGGAAGCTAAAATTTTAGGGTAATGACCGCCCGCCCACGCTCAACCCTGCCTATTCAAATCCAGCGTCCCCGCGCTCTCGGGTACCACATACGACCTCATGAAAATCTTGGCGGGTAAACTATTAACTCGAGAATCACGGAAAGATATTCACCCTTCAAGGTTTCGAATTCAACTTTCATGCACCGGCGCGTGAAATTTTTAACTATTTTCCAATTTTTGAACTATTTTTGCATAGACTAAAGTACAAAGCTGTGAAAATCATTGACAGGCAGTCGTTCGATGGGCTGAATTGCACAAAACGCATGATCGCACTGGCTAGTCTGGTGCGCGTTGCTATTACAGCTTATTCACATGTATTAATTCCGACAATTTTTATATACTCACAAAAAACATAAACGTGCTACTGATGGATTAGCTGTGCCGGCTTATACATTCGTAACAATCTCGAAGATTCTTTGATGTCTTTGATCACTAATTTACTATTATAGTTTGGCTTTAGCTCTTCTCGAAATCCCGTAACCTCAGATGATACAAAACATTCCGGCCAATCCTGCTGCCTACATTTCCATGATTTTACTCATCACTGCATTTTCGACATATCACCTTCCAAAACACTCACTAACAAGAAAATTCAAAGTTTTAAAATCCATAAGTAGCACAGCCAAATATGAGCTGTACTTTTTAACAAAATGCTTTAGCAGAGAACATGGGTATTCTTGAAGAGTGGAATAACAGCGTTTCTGATACCCTACCAACTTCATGTGCCCCTTAATTCATAACCATTCATGATTCTTTTGCAATTTCGAACTCAATACCTTAGCGCCCAACTGCACTGCACATTTCCAAGGTGCCCGTTTCAGGAACACAGCGCTGCGTTCAATAAGTACCACTTAACGAATGACAAATACCAGAAAAACACTACTTATCCAAAACAGACATCTCAAATCCTTGGCAAAAAATTTGATAAGGGATAATTTCAGGATTTAAATGAAAGCGCTGACAGAGAATATGAGTTTAGCTTTTAATTGATCGTTTAGCTTTACTGCAGAATTTGCAAACTTTTTCAAACATTTGTGATTTTCTTGGTTTCTAAATTTTTAAACATTACTATCGGCTTATTTTGGGTCTTGAAAATCATTCGGTTTAAGCCGTATCGCTACACTAATTACTGCGGCAACTATCACGACTCGGATCGGCTTGTTTCGGCCGGTATCATAGATGAGTCACATATTGGTGACTGGGGAAAGGGTTACCAAACGGTGAATGAGCGGGGATTCGAAAGTGGCAGGTGAGAAGGGAGGGTGGTGTGTTGCGGGTTTCGTACGAGGCAGGAGAGGGGAGTTAGGATTTAATGGCTACATGGTGTAGATTCTTTGCCGGTTGGTCAGGTCACGTACATTTGAAGGGGAGGAGGCAGGGGTTCCCCAATTCATACCTCTAGAGCAGCTTCTGGGCACCCATCACTCACCATCCCCTACCATGTTCCATCGCTCTACCCAACACTCCCCAACCACGTCATCCAGCCGCTGAGCGCTGGGTAGCGCACGGGGGAAAGGAAATCCAGCGCTCGTCAGCATCATGTCAAGCAGTGCCGACAAACAGCGCCTCTAAGCAGCATTAGCTAAGAAACGAGAATGCCTCTCAATCACGGCCGAGCCGAGTTCTAGTAGATGCTTTCACTTTCTCATTAACAATATTTTTCCACTCAAAACCGTTAGGTTAACCGCAATAATCATTCACTTCTGGACATTTCAGATCTTGCCTTTTCAGTTTTTGATGAATAATCAGAAATGAAATAACCTACTTCATCTTCGATACCAACGATACCCTTTCCTTTAAACGTTTTTGCAACAATTGCTGTTGGCCGATGTTTCGTTTCCCTGAAAATTTGTATAATTTTATTCAACTCTATGTGACTCTATGTGATTTTGCAAATGAACAAGCAAAATTTAGCTCCAAGGAGCGAGAAACCGAAGCAACACAAGCTTAAAGAACAAAAATTCAAGTTGTATTTGAACAAAAATGGACCGTGCACTTTTGTACGCATCACATAATTGCTCAACATTGTGCCCGTCAACAACAATTGCATGGCAACCAAAAGCTTCGAAACGTTTTGCGAGAGCGTCCGCATCATGGCCGAACATAGTTTGCTGCGTTTGCCCCAAACGATTCATGTCCACAATTGCAACCAAATTGTCCAGCTTGTAGTATGACGCAAATCCTTAACACACATTCTGAATGGCAATCAAAGATGCTATCACCGCCCAAATCACTGTAAGCGATTCCTCACTAGTCCTCGAGATGCTTAGTGGCCAGATCTTAAATCACATCACTACACACTCTAAACACGTAGCATCCCCATCAACTGATGCACGCTATGAAACTATGTTGTATTTGTTACTGAACACCAAGCAGTTCTCTCTCAGTGCCACATCGGGTCCCTTCGCATTCAAAATCTGTCTTCCTTGAAACCTCCTCACGATGAAGGCTATTACGGAGAAACACGGGGAGAATGCAAACAGAAGCGCAGGTAACCACAGAACCTACGAATAAATTAACATGGAATTTTTAATGCATTTCTTGTTGCCAATGCTTTTTGGTTCATTAAAAATGAAGCTAAGCATACCAACAGCTTCCCATACCGAGCCTTCTGCGCATTCTCCATCACCGAGCAGACAGTATACACGGTAGCTCGCCTGAATTTCAGTGAAAAGTAACACATACAAGAAACAAGGGAAGTCAAAAACGGCGTAATCATACATATACCAATTTCTGAATTTACTAATTTGCAAAATATTCATGCAGGAAAAATATCAATTTGAAGTCTAGGGGCAAAAACTGCGATTCACGTTTAAAACTGACACCAGGCTAATATTTGTAAACGTTTTTCATCGCATCTTTTGATTAACTGTCGTGTATTTTCTTGTAAAATTTTGCGAAAATTTGGACAGAGTTGCACCATTTGGCTCAAAAAGTTGCATTTTTCCAACCGTATCGGTGAATTTAGTGCCCAACTTCAGAGCAGAAAAAAGACAAGCCCTTCAATTTTACATACTCAGCAAAGCACGCCAGCGATTCGTTTATCTGTTTCCTAGTTTACGAATAAATCGAGCAGCCTGAAAATTGCAAATTTATTTTACCTTATCGATGTATTTGCCAACATATGCCATACCAGCAGCACATGAGAGGCCCTGTCCAAGCGAACCAGTAGCAACGTCGATGAAATCCAAGCGTGGAGTCGGATGGCCTTCGATATCCGAGCCCAACTTCCGCAGAGACATCATATCATCGCGCGTTAAATGTCCCAACTCATGCCAAACAGCATACAGCACCGGGCAGGCGTGACCCTATCAAAACTCGGAAAATAAAAAAGAAAAAAAAAATAATGGAATGAAGTAAATGGTCCTTGCGAAAAACAGTGTTAAACAGCGTAACTGGGCCTAGTCTTACCTGAAGCCATCTGAAAATCACGCGCAAAAAATGTAGACTTCGAGTTTAATCAGGCACTGTTTTAGTGAAACACGGCGGTAGTCTTTTATTTCCGGATGAAAAACGCTCAAAATCGTCATCTAGCGGTAATAATGGTCAAGACAAATAACTAGATTTTGTGAAGTGCTTCTCTCAGGAGAATGTCCCTCAGCAGCCTTGAGTTGGTACACACTGCTCACAGGGTTAAGTTTCGGCCACTTTTGTGCAGGCCGTTCAGTTTAGCTGCATAATTTTTCACTCACGCCGCTCAGTAAAGCCCAATAACCA